GAACGGTGGAGAATATAGAGGAAGATGTGGTAGAGAGAGAGATTTCTATTTATGTTAATATCATCAAGAGAGACACTGTACCTAAACAAATTGGCAACATGTGATGAAGAGTTGAGGCCATTGTAGGGATAAGCTACATATACCTGCATTCTCATTTACTGCCCTTTAACCGGGATTTCATATTACAATCAATCCTTTTCTGCGACTAAACCGGAAATACTCCTACTACATATATACATAGAATACAGACTACTCTAGCTAGCTATTTTATTTGTGATTGTTCATCAGATCAAATCCCTAAATTAATTAGTATTTTTTTACCTTTAATAAGTTATAATAGTGGCTAAAATAGTACTTAAAAAATAGAATGATACTTAAAAAAATGGTTTGTTTGTGTTTTTTTTACATACACGAATGATACTTAAAAAAATGGTTTGTTTGTGTTTTTTTTACATACACGAATGATACTTAAAAAAATGGTTTGTTTGTGTTTTTTTACATACACAATATACGATTTCAAAGTTTTTATGTTAAAAGAGATACACACGACAAACATGAAGACTTTTTAAGCGGAAAACGATTCTCTTAAACCCGGATTTATTAGTTATAGGGATGTGACACATGGAATAGTAACTTAAGTAACTAACCACATGATTATGACTTTTTTTTGCTAAGCATTTGTTGCATGGTTTGTATTGCACCAACATATCACAATCGACTACATTTTAACTGCGGATAAATAGGGAGCTCGATTTCAATTAGGTTGGTGCCGTGTTCATAGACCTCGCAGAAGTATTGGCAAACTACACCCATAAAGTTTTTTTTTTGAACATATACTACACCCATAAAGTAAAAAAGAGCTACGGGTCATAAATTTGATTTTGTTTTTACATGAACTTGCAGTGAATCCAAGTCTATTGTTTGGAAAACTACACATGTTGATGTCATTTCACATTCTTGAAAGAAAAGAAGAAAATATCATGTAAAGTAAAGGAACATCCGAAGTGAAATGTAAACTGGTTACGGTTTGAATTGAATTGAAAAAAAATTAAATAAAAAGAAGTGAAAATGGCGCAAGGTTCGATGAAGTGGGAGAGAGAGGGAGTGGAAAGGGACTTGTGCATGGAAGTGATTAAGCAAAGGCACATTCATCAGTTGTTTTCACACTTAATAACATTTCTGCCACACCAGTCTTTCCCTCGATTCTCGTCAATTCCATGCCCCTTTTTTTGTTGTTGTATACACTCTCTCTATATTCCTATGTATATCATTTTGTCATCATTGTTTCAATTTGCCCTAAAGTGTGTGGTTTCACTAAATTCCATAATACAGGACCACCATTTGTGGTAAATTACTTCATTCTCCGTGGTAATACTAGCTCGTAGTAAAATTCAAAATTTTACATACTCCGAAATTAGTCATAATGTATGTAATTATTACCGTTAGAAAAGTAGACATAACTTACATATTAAAAAAGATAAACGAATAAAACTCGAATTTATGATCCAAATCATAACCCATATATAGTTTGAAAAGATTATATAGTTGTTTTGCAATTCAAGTAATAACAAGATGGAGTGTTTTCTCTACATCAGTTATATCGAGTTTTTTGTTTTGTTTAAACAAAAGAGGTAAATAATAGTATGAGATAAATGAAACCATGAATGCAGAGAAAGACAGAACATTAAAATCGAGGACGACACAAGGCGTCGAAGTTGACTAATTATCAAAATAATTTAATCGCAAAATCATGCAATGGAAATTGAAACAAAAAAGTTGAGAAAAGAAGAAGCTTATTTAAGAACAAATATATCTACTGTTTCATTTCCGATTTGACCATTCATATCTCAATCTACCTACACATATATGAAAATGTACAGAGCTAGGGATGTATGGTTTGTCAGCGACGACGAGCGACAGAGATCTCTTCTTTTCCTTCTGCTAAATTTATTTTTTTTTTGTTCTTTTTCTATGGGTGTGATTGGTCAACAATTG